CCGCGCGCTGCTGCGATGCCCCACGGAACTCACGCCTGGGGCCAGCACCGCGCCCCGGCCGACCTGTCTGCACCACTGTTCCTGCCCGACGATTCGGTAGCCGTTAAAGTAATATTCTTGGAAGCAGCTCGCGTCGCCCATGTGCGCATCGGCGACCACCTGCTGCCGCGGGTCCTGCTGCTCGCCAAGGACGGTCGCGAAGGGGCCCCAACCGCTGCCGTCGAGGCTGACCACCGTGAACGTGGGCCTGCTACCCGCGCTTCCCCCTCCGCTGGAGCCCCGCAGAGCGAAGGCTCTGGAGGAGCTTCTCCGCGCGAAGCTTGCGCCTCTGGGCCGCATGGGCTGCGGGGTTACCGCGTCGAGCCCCTTCGTCGCCGCTGCCAGCACTTGCCGCCGCGCTGCCATCCTCCGCGGGGACCTCGGCATCATCCCCATGCTGTCCAGGATGTTGCTGAGGTCGGCCGCCTCGAGCTCTTCGTCGCCGCTCTCGCGTTCTGCTGCTGCGCCAGCTGCTGCGACGCTGTGCGCCAGCCGACGAAGCTGGGAGACTTGCTGTTCCCACTGCTGGGCGCAACCTGTATTGAGCATGCCCGAGGCCTGGTCCAAAGCTTCCAAGAAAGCTGCGGCGCGTTCGCCCTCGCTGGACAAGGCTGCTGGGGACCGAAGCACTGCTGCTGTGGCGCCCACCCCCTCCGCTCTTTCTCCGAGTGCACCCTCACGCTCACGTTTGTGTTTGGCCAAGCGGTTGCCGATGAGCGCCTGGAGCTCCTTGTCCGCTGCCTTGCTCTGCCCGTGCTTGCCCTCCAGCTCGAACCTTTGCGCCTCGAGACCAGTGATCTCCTGCGCGGTGTCCGCGATCTTCCTGGCAAGCGCCTCCGAGGTGCTCTGCTGGTTCCGCTGCTTGCGTTCGAGCTCGCTGGGCTGAACGGACGTGGGCTTCTCCTCGGAGAGCTCGTGTTCCAGCTGCTGTGCCTCCTGCCGCTTGCCCGCCAGTATCTCGGCTGCGCCTTCCACTCCTTCGAGCTTCTTGATGTCGCTCCGAAGCTTCCCACGTCGCCGTACTCCCTCGTCCTTCGGGGAGGAATGGGCTGCGGCTGCTGCGCCTGCATCACCCCCTGAAACTGCACGAGAATCTCCTTCGAGTTTTTTGACCTTGCGCCGCAACTGGTTGAGCTCGTGGCGTTCCTTGGCGTCCAGGTGTGACCTGCCACTCCACCACGAGCTTGCCCCAGATCCTTGCTCCCACCAATCAAATCCGCAACTGCGACAAAACGTGCCTGGAACCCCAATTTTTCTTGGCTCCGCACTTGGGGCAACCCCAGGCTTTGGGCTGGCTGCTTCCACTGCTGTCCCCAATTCCGCCTGGTTGACCTCCCCAGCGTCCGCCTCTGCCGCCTTTGCCGCCGCCGCCACGCGCGGCACCCCGAGCACCACCACCACGTCCTGCCATTGGTCGAGCCCGCCGCGGCTGGGCTCCCAATCGGGCGACTGGGGCCGGGTGCCGGAAAGGTTATGGATATGAAAGAATTGTGGCCGCGAAGGCTTCGCTGAAAGCTTGGTCGATTTGGAATCTGACCCAAGAAGTGTCGCGACGGCTAGAACCAGCCACGTGGGACCAGGCATCTGCCCTGATCGCATCATCTTGGGCCAAAATGGCTACGGATGATGATGATGATGATGATGATGATGATGATGATGATGATGATGATGATGATGATGATGATGATGATGATGATGATGATGATGATGATGATGATGATGATGATGATGATGATGGCGACGACGATGATGCTGCTGCTGCTGATGATGATGATGATGATGATGATGATGATGATGATAAGGGGGAGGGTGACGATGAAGTCTACCTAGAGTAAACGGTGCCACGAGCCATCTCGACCCTGATCCTGACTCCGTGCCTGGGCTCCGCATGGGGCTCTTCGGCCTCCCTGACGCTTGCTTGGCGCTCCCTGCTGGATTTGGCCCAAAATCCCTCTTATTCGTGGTCGGTCACGAGCCCTCTCCTGGGCCTCTAGGGGCCCTAACGTGTTTCGCTCTTGCAGCCCTCCTGGGGGCCTCTTGGGCCATTATGGGGCCATCTTCGATCCGACTTGGAGGATCTTGGAGCAACCTTGGGGCCGTCTCGGACCGTATTGGGCCGACGCTCCAAATAATGTGATGACGATCGTGATGATGATGATGATGATGCTGATGATGACGATGATGATGATTATGACGATGATGATGACGATGATGATGATGATGCTGATGATGATGCTGATGGCATGACGATGACGACGATGATGATGCTGGTGATGATAACGATGATGACGATAATGATGATGAAGATGATGATGACGATGATTATGATGATGATGAAGATGATGATAATGATGATGCTGATGATGCTGCTGCTGATGATGATTAGGGGGAGGGTGATGATGAAGTCTCCCTAGAGTAAGCGGTGCCACGAGCCATCTCGACCCTGTTCCTGACTCCGTGCCCGGGCTCCGCATGGGGCTATTCGGCCTCTTTGACGCTTGCTTGGCGCTCCCTCTTGGAATTGGCAAACAAATCCTTCTTACTTTTGGTCGGTCACGATTGACGACGCACGGTCGAGGGGACGCAGGATCAGGGGGAGGAGGAGGAGGAGAGGAGGATTTGAAGGAGAGGAAGGCCAGGAGGAGGATAAGGAGGAGGAGGTGGAGGAGGAGGAGGAGAAGAGGTCTGGATCAAGCAGCAAAAAGTGACAGAAGCGGCAATCACCGAAGGAAGACAAAATGAAAGGCCGCAAGTGGCAACAACCAGCACTCAGCAACAGCAAGCGGCTGTCAAATGCACAGGGCAGAAGCAAGCACGCTTGCCCAGGGGCAGGTGCGTGTGAGACGACCAGGGGTCCAACAGGCTTTTTCTGGGCCCCGTCGGCCCCTGCGAGACCCAGCAGGCCCTGGTGCGCTTCGAGAATGGCCAAAGAGCCATCTGAGACGCCCCCAGAGGCCCCCAAGAGAGACTCCAAGGCGCCCAAGATTCCTTCTACACGGCTTCAGACGCCTCCGGAACGTCCCGACGGGGCACCGAGAAGGGCTCCGAGAGGGCCCGAATAAGAAAAATCATCATCAGCCATTGGGAAAGCTGTCATGTTTTGTAATTCCGTGCTTTTCGTCTCCGACGTTTCCACGACGGCCATATAGGCTCCCAAGAGTAACTCAAGGCCCCTTAGGACAGTCGCATGAGGGCCCAAGATAGCCCAACACAGCATCCGGACGGCTCATGAGGCGCTCATGAAAGCCCAAGAGGCATCCAAGACAGCCTCAAGAGCTGCCCACGACGGCCCACGACGGCGCCAAGACTATCTTGCAGCACCCAAGACGGCCCAAGAGAGCCCCAAGAGGCCCCCAGGAGGCCGAAAGACGCCCCAGGGGCGCCGCAGGAGGCGTCCAGGAGGCCGAAAGAAGCTCCGAGAAGCTCCCAAACTATCCCTAGGAGAAGGCAGCGCCCGCCTCCAGGCTTCTACGAGACAAACAAAAAAGTTTCCAGGGCCTGCGAGCCGTACCCCAGACACGCTTCGTGGCCGCATCCGGACCGCTGCCCTTCTCCATGGGTGCGGGCGCCCACCGTCACGCTTCACCCAGGCAACTGGGAAGAACTCACTAAGCTTTCCGGGCGTACCCCGCCCACGGATCGTGGGTGCGGGTGCGAGTGCGCGAAGGTATGCGCGTATGGCACGGAGCCGCGCCGTGGAGGCGCACCAGGGGGACCTGAAGGTCGTGGGCGAAGTCCACGGGTTCGCCCTAGTCAGCTACAGCGCTGGGATCAGCGCGTGCGAGAAGGGCGAGCAGTGGCAGCGAGCCCTGGCGCTGCTGAGCGAGATGCGGGGGGCGAAGCTGGAGCCCAACGTCATCTCTTCTACAATGCAGCGACCTTTGCGTGCGAGAAGGGTCTTTGTCTTGACCGTCGGTCCCGTCCCCAAAACTGCTCAGGGGGGGTCCAGATGCCCCAAAAACGGCATCAGACGGTCTCGGAACGGCTCCGAGGGGCTCGAGGGGGCGCCAAGACGGCCTCAGAGCACCCCTGGGAGCCCCAAGACAGCACCAGAGGCCCCCAAGGCAAGGCAGGCCAGGAGGCCCCCAAGATGGCCCAGGAGGGCCTCCAGGAGAGCCCCAAGAAGCCCAGATCGTCCCATTTCCTTTGGCAAACACATATGTTCACTATGTTTCATGTTTTTTGTCCTTGCAGCGTCCAAGACTGCCATACGGGCCCCCCAGCTGGACCCAAGACGCGCCCAGACGCCCCAGGAGGGCCCAAAAACGGCCCCACACGGCCACGGGACAGCTCCAGAGGCGCCCGAGACGGCCCAAGACGCACCCAAGACGGCCCCAAGAGCAGCCAACAGTGGCCCAAGACGGCCCCAGGGACGCCCAAGACGCCCCAAGATGGCTCCAAGACGGCCCCAGGGGCACCCAAGACAGCCCAAGAGGGCCCCAAGAGACCCCCAGGAGGCCGAGAACAGGCCCCCACACAGACCCCAACGGGTATGCGGTCTCCACACTGCTTCCGATCGCGCGGGCGCACGAGTGGCGACCCGAGAAGCACCCGGCACGGCCCCAGGACAGCCCCGAGAGGCCCCCGGGAGGTCGCACAGAGGCCCCCCCAGACGGCCCCGCAGCAGGCACAGGGTGCATGACCGGCCGCCCCGCAGCGGCTGTGATCGGCACCGAGCACGGCGCGACAAGCAGCACATCTCCACGCCGTCTCGAGCCCACATGGGTGTGCTCCCTGTTACCACCACCTCCACCACCGCGTACTTGCGGTCGGGCCTGCACGCCTGCATCACTCACCGACCTTCCCTCCGGCGATCACCTTCAGCATCCAAATTGTGGCCCTGCGCCCTCCTCCCCGGCCACCCCCCCCGCGAGGCCCTGGAGACGTTCCACGTCCGCGGCCAGAAGGCCGCGGGTCAGCCCTAGTCAGCTACAGCGCTGCGATCAGCGCTTGCGAGAAAGGCGAGCAGTGGCAGCGGGCGCTGGTGCTGCTGGGCGAGATGCGGGAGACGACTCTGGAGCCCGACGTCGTCAGCTACAGCGCTGGGGTCAACGCGTGCGAGAAGGGCGGGCAGTGGCAACAAGCGTTGAGCATACTCAGGATTTTGCGACTGAGACAGGTGGATGCTGATTTCTATGTCTACGGCGTTGCTGCGAGCATGTGCGAGCAAAGGGGGCAACGGAGCCAAGTGGTGTCGTTATTCACGGAGATGCATGACCGATTGTTCGGATGAGCTATGCGTTTCAGTTGTATGGCTGGGTCCGCGCAGGTGAGACGGGCGACCAATGGCAGCGGGCTTTGCCACCGCTGAGCGAGGTGTAGGAGGCGAAGCTGAAGCCCGACGCCACCACCAGTTGCGATCGTGGCTTTCGATGGAGCTCTGGAGCTGGTGTACCCCAAATGGGGCGGGGCCGCCGTGTGGGCGCTGCCATTGGGCCCTTCGGTGGAGATCCCCATGCCGACATGGACATGTGGACAGCTGGTGCAGGGACGGGAGGGTGTGGGGGGGCGGGAGGCGTGAGACGCGGGGCGCTGTCTCCTCAAAACGACGACCCAACACCACAGGATGTCTGGGAACAGAAGCAGCTAAAGGACAAGCAGCAAAAAAACGAACGACGACGACGACGACGACGACGACGACGACGACGACGACGACGACGACAGCGGCGGCGGCGGCGGCGGCGGCGGCGGCGGCGACGACGACGCAGCCAGGACGCCGGAGCGCTGGCCCTGTGGGTGGCGGGCCTGATCAACCCGCTGCCTGGCCTTGGCGTGGCCCACGAGATCCGGCCCGCGGCGCTCTCCGCGGAGGCGGTGGGCGAGGAGCGCCGATCGTCGATCGTCGAGGCCTCGACCCTCGAGACCTCGTCGCCGAGAACGTCAAGGCTCGATCTTCCAGGGTCGATGCTGCAGGCTCGGGCCTTGAGGCTCGAGCCTTGAGGCTCGATCCTCGAGGCCTCGATCCAGACATCTAACGCCTTGAAGAGGTCGAGCCTGTCGTCGCCTTCGGCCCAAGGGGAGCGGGGGGGGGGGCCAGGGTTGTCGAGGAACGAGTCGGGACGAAGAGCCGGCCCTGGGAAACGGGTCGAGAGCATCGGATGCCCGGGAACGGCATCGACGGCGGAGCCGGCCGATGAAGCCTCAGGAGGAAAAGAAACGCACAGACACAATGAATCGTCGATTCTCCCGAAAACATGGGAAAATATGGGAAGTGGGGGGGAAGACAAAGACCCCGAAAATATGGGGAAACATGGGGGATCCTTTTTTTGTGTATTCATTTGTGTGTCCCAGGGCCCCCTCAAGCAGGCCGGTGAAGCGGGATCCCCCGACGGAGTCCTCGGGGTCCAGGGATGCTCTCTCGAGGACGCGCGGGCCAGGAGCGCCGCCGTCGACCGGCGCCGACGGCCGTCGCCGACCCCCCGCTTGTTCGAGGGCCGCGTTCTTGCGGGGCGCGCGTGGCCATGTTGTGGCCTGCCTGGTTCGGACCCGTTCGGCTGGACTCTACCTCGTTCCGAGCTGGTTCACCGCGTGCGGGCGATGATAAAGTACGCCCCCCCCTTCACCCCCTCTATTTGTTTCATCCCCGTCCAACAGGATTTAATTGTGGAGAGGGGCGCGGAGGCCGAACTTTATAGTCCACGGGGAAAGTTGCGAGTCAAAATTACTATCATATCATCTTGACTAGCAACAGCATCAAAAACGCTGAGCATGGCCATGGTGGTCTCACCACACCAGCTTCCGCAATCACGAGCGTGTGGCAGGGCTGTGGGATTCTCACCAGTTCAGTTTGCCCCAGTTACGAACGCGCGGCAGGGCCATGGGGTTCATTTTCTCAGCCTTCTCCTTCTCTTCCTTTCCTCCTTCCGCCCCCCCCCCCAGGGTCCGTTTTTTGTATCCCCAGATTTGTTTATCCCCCGCGGGGTCCCACCATGGACCCCCTACATGCGAGGTTGAAAACGATTAAAAGAAATTGTTGTTTACACATAAAAAAACATAGGCCCCGAATCATTATTTCCTTTGAAAACCGATCCTGGGGCCATTCTCTTCTCTCTTCCGTCTCCCACCAGTATTATTCCTCTCTTCCTGCTCGTACTCCTAATGATATTGCAGTCAACCCGCGTGGTAAGGATGAGCAATACTATTGCCCTTGCAGTCTTGCCAGTTCGGCGCATCTCTGGGCCTTGCAAGGACCTTGCATCTTGACCGCCTTGTGCCGAGCGCCCAGGATCACCATCATCATCAGCATCGTCACCGTCATCGTCATCATCATCATCATCATCACCATCATCATCATCATCATCATCATCATCATAACTTACCTTCCCCAGGAAAATCTTTTATTATCCCCGCCAAAGTCCCGAACTTTATTATCCCAGGGGGGGTATTATCGCCCGCACAGGGTTATATATCCCGGCTGGGTGCTTGTCCAGCCCAGCTCGCCCGGCATTGATTCGAGTTTTGTTCAGGTTCCGGCTCAAGCTGAAGTCCGTGAGATTCAGATCCAGCTCCGCGAGATTCCTTTCAGTTTTCCGGAGGCTCTGGGGGCCTCCTGCGGCCTTCGGAAGCCTCCAGAAGCCCCCGTCTTGGAGGTCAGGGTCGCCGTCGTCCCAGATCTTCGATCCTCGAACCCCGATCCTCGACTCGAGGATCGCGGTTCAAGGATCACGGGGGGGGCTCCAGTTGCCGCGCTCAAGGCTCACAGGCACCAGTTCGCTGAAGCCCGTTGGTCTCTTGTTGAGAAGCCTTCTCGATGCTACCCACCGGCTTTCGGCACCGTGCCATGCAACAAGCATTGTTGGTCCGCGCGAACCCTGGCCCGCGCAAACCCGAAAGGCCCGCCGGGAGAACTAAGATGACGAGCCTCGCCTTGGCTTGCAGCTCCTCCCCGATATCCTCGCCCAGCGTCAAAGCGGCACGGATGTCACCGACGCAATTAAGTAACACACAAACGACTAACATTAGAACGACTACGACTACGGCTGCAACTCGGACTGCGGCTACAATTAGC